TCAAACCTGTTGTGAGGAGCTAGAGATGGGCTGGGCCCCTACCTATCGGCTCGCCATGAGGGATCCTCGTAGGTGGAAACGAAGGGCGGATGCGGCTATACGCCCCCACCGGTGTTAGCTCCCTAATGATGATATTTATAGATATATATCATAAATTATATATATATATATATATAGTTGGATATGTATATATATAAATATAAGTATAACATTTATGTATATATTTAAAACACACACACATACATATATTGTTACGTAACTTTCGTTCATTAACAATGACACCGGTTGTCGCAGAACAGGGCACATAACAGAACCCAATGTAAGTTCATATAATTTGGTGTCAAGCGTCCTACAATTTATAAATATCCTTTTGTTTCTTTTAATGCTTGTTCTATTCTTGCTATATTTGCTAATCAAAATCACTCATCGATATGCTCGGCTTGTATATTACCCGTGTTATAATTATCTTTATTATAAATTTATTGTGTCCATTTGGCTTTCCTTTCTATAGCACATTCAGTTTTAGAGTAATATAATGTAGGTATGCAAAGGTTGGGAGTATAAAGCTAATCTATAATTAATTTGTATTTACACCAATCACCGGACAACAAAAATGTACGGAAATCACCTCATCCGCAAACTTATACAACTCACATAACGCTAGAATATTCATATTTATGTAAACCTATACAGTAATACAGGATGACAAATAAGGTTAACTTACAAAAATAGACGATATATTATCGTAACCACAACCCGGCTCCTCCGACCACCGATCAGCCATAGTCACCTCCTTCCACAAGTCCGTCCAAGGTCGTTCTCCTCCTCCCTCGTTCTTACTCCCCATAAACAAATTCTGAGTCGACTAGACCGAAACCCGAACCCGAACAAACCCCCATGTCTCGTCCACGTATTCCGAGTCCCGTTAGTCCCGTCGCAATCGGAGTAAAGCGGTGTCAGGTCTTGCAGAGGTCTTGCAATTAGTTGACGGTCATACGCAGGTCGATAGTCGATAGGCAGCCATGTAATAATATATATATATATACCCATATATATGTATATATATACATATACATATTTGTATATATATATATATATATATATATATATATGTATATATATAAACATATATGCACATTTATATATGTATTTATGTCAATGTATATATATATACAAATTGATATATGTATATATATATATGAATATTTGTATATAATATATATATATATATATATATATATATATATATATATATATATAAATATGTGTATATCTACATATATAAATATATAAAGATATATAAATATAGAAATATACTTATATAAGTCTATGTATATAAATATGTATAAATATATATATAAACACACACACACACACACACACATATATATATATATATATATGTTTGTGTATATACCGGGTGGAAATAGCTGTTCGGACAGTTGCCGCCTGCAGGTGCTTCCGGTGGCCGCCGTTACAAATACTCCAAGGATGACCCATGTCAGTCAGAGTGGGCCTACTGCTGGCCGGGTCAAGGTCGGCGCCTGTCCGGCTCAGGTCAGGGGTCACGTCTGATCCTCGCGGATCCATTGCTTAATCCAAGTCTTGTCGTTGTGTTTGAACATATTCCGTGTGCTAACTCTTACAGAATAAAGAGTGTAAAAGCCACCCAAGCTTTTACTGTCCTGTCACCAATGTATAGAGGTCAAACTCATACCCTTTACATCTGGTGGCAGGTGGTGGTAGTTGTGCCCTTTTGGCGTGCAACCAAACCAAGCTTCTCTGAAGAAATTTCCACTCGCCACATACAAACACAAGATGACAATTTTCAAAACCGTGGGTACACATTTGGGCCCCTTCTCTTTTCATTTCTTTTCTATCTTCTCCCTAAATGTGTTAAGCCGTATGTACAGCCATCCTCACGGGGGTTTTGTTGGGTAAGTGCTATTTAACAGCAAATGGTATGCTCTCATCCTTCTGACCTCACACCTCATTACTGTTAATCGCTGCATGGAGTCAAACATTATGAATATCATTCATTTATCATTTATTAAGTGTTTATTAATTTTTTTCTCGTGATTAGAGAATCATATTGTTTCAATTGCAAAGAATTTAGTGCGTTCGTGATTATATTCTTTTCACGAACTTTCACTCATTAATTTCTCTCCCTCGCCATTTCCTGTTTTGACCTGACCTCAAGTGAAAGTCATTAAGCCTGCCTAGACAGCTGGTTGCTCTGACCTGACTTGATCTTGCGTGATTGACACGGTGAAGTGGCTGAGAAAAAAGCTTGCCATTCCCTTTTAATTGTTTCTGCTTATTGTCACAGTATAGGGATAATGCATAGCAACTGTTACATGTTCATTGGTGACACGTTTTATCGGTGCTAGAACGGAGCATGTAACGCGACTTGTACACAATTATATATTGAAGTTAACGCCAAGATTGTCCCTCATAAGTGATGTTGCATTTATGCTTAATAGGCCTGACGTCCCGACGAATGATAGTAGGTTAGGTAACTGAAGTAATTCATACGCTCAGCAAAACTTTGAGCCGATGTGACCGCAATTATGTCCACTAATTTAGGATAGGGTTTAAGTCTGATTTGGGATCCACTTAATTAATCACACCCCGCTCACACTTTTAAATGTCGCTGTCATGTTGGGTTAATCTCATCGTTTTGTGATTCATGATAAATCCTCGTAGGGCATTTCAAGAGCGCTCAATCATAGATCTGCAGATACAGTGGGTTATTTATAGATTTTCCCAGCTCGTTTAGCTTCATAAAATACAGCATTTTTGGGTCAAATCCCCCCGTCAATGAAGCCTGCATGCCAGTTAAGACTTATTTTACCTCGGCGGTTCCGAGAAGATTCGCTCTCGAAGAAGCTTGCGAATAACTTTCACGTCACCATTCATTAATGCGTAATTCTGTCGCATATCGTTAAATGTTAAATTCAATTTTGCATTATGTCTATAAATAATTAGTCGCATTATTGTTAAAATGAACTTTATTCAACATGTTGGCAACATTACTGCGCTATATGAGGTCACTCTTACTTTCATTTGACATTCATTAATCACTGTCACTCAAACATGCACACACAGTCACTCACTCACGGACGCAGAACAAAGACACTGAAACCTTCATTAATAGGATTTGCTGCTGTCTTAGTTGCAGGCATACGTATCTCTTTGCCCGCAATTTTGTTAGTATTGATGAGTGACTTGTACATGAATTCGTATTTTACATACTTTCCTTTCTGTTCCGACATTTGGTTCAAGTAAAATCCTTGCGTGGTAGTTCAAGATAAGTCCTTGCGGACGCTATCGCCATCTCCCTCTCCTATTTTCCTCTTTTAACTTTGTGAACAGAGAACACAAAATGAAAATAAAAGACGAAAATAACGAAAATTCGACCTTAAAAACTGCAAATCATAAACAAAAATCGGCTTGTGGATCTTGGCCCTTATGTGTTAGTCTGGTTCACGATATCTGAAACGGCACCGAAGGAGGCCCTGCTGCAGAAACGGTCACCTTCAGAAGCTATTGAAATACGTCATCGGAGGATCGCCAGAAGCCTGGAGATAAGGATGCTCATCAGAGCAGGTATTAAACCGCCCCAGGACGTGGAAGGGCGACGCCTGCTAGGATGCCCGGAGATCCAGCGAAGACCAGGAACTCGCCAGTGCAGGTTCTCATTTCCCCATGATGCTGTGGACGACCGCCGCCTGCCTGGACGCCGCAGATCCAGTCAACCTCCAGGAGCTCGTTAGTGCAGGTATCAGCCGCCCTGCGATGCCGAAGAGGACGCTTCCTGCCGGACGCCCGTAGATCCTGACGAAGATTACGAGATCATCTGTACAAGCGCACAGCCGAGAAGAACCTGGACGAAGATCTGCGAGACGTGCATTGGGCGAGTAAGCCGCCGAGTTAGACCTGGACGTGGACTACGAGGAAGTCTGGGCGAATCCGAAGTCAAGGAGGACCTGGGCGAGATCTTCGAGGACGTGAGGATGTCGAGGACGGACGGATTTACCAGGGACCAGGACGAGGATGACGACAAGAACGAGCAGCCACGTAGATGCACCAAGGATACCGCACACGAGATCGAGGATGAGCAAGTTAGGACCAGCCAGGTTGGGTCACCCATGAGGCAAGTCTAGATCGCCTCGAGGACGAGCCCTTAGTAGGTGGCCGAGCAATATACCGGGTGGAAACAGCTGTTCGGACTGCTGGCCGCCGCTACAAATACTCCAAGGATGACCCCTGTCAGTCAGAGTGTGCCTGCCGCTGGCTGGGTCAAGGTCGGCGCCTGTCCGGCTCATGTCAGGGGTCACGTCTGATCCTCGCGGCCACTCCTGCCCGTGGCGGTGGCCGCCCGTGACCTCAGGCTAGCCATCGTTTAACCCAAGTCTTGTCGTTGTTTTTAAACTTATTCTGTGTTCTAACTCTTACAGAATAAAGAGTGTAAAGCCACCCAAGCTTTTACTGTCCTGTCACCAATGTATAAAGGTCAATAATACCCTTTACAGTGTGTCTGTGTTAATGAATAAACAAATAAACAAATATGTGTGTATATATGTGTGTGTGTGTTTTATGGCACATTTAAAGTCTAGGGTATTATCTGGAGCTCATAGCAAGTTAACATTTATGTCCGTTAAAAAGAAAACATACGGATAAACAAAATAACTATGTGCAATATTTCTTTTATGTACATTAATAATACATTATTATATAGAGATTAGAAAAAACAAAACACAATCCTACTCCTAACCTAAACATCCTAGAATGTGTAAAATACACCAATATCAAATAGTGACCTTAGGCAGAAACACGCAAAATCTCGAGCTGTACAATATGGCGGAGTGGCTGAATGAAAGCCAGGTGGCGGTGCGGTCGGAGTCAGCCAAGGAGTGAGCTCGAGTCAGCCACCGGAACACAGGTCTATTCGGATTCCAAAACCTTTTACTAGTTGCTAGTTTAAGTATTATACCGGGTCACCTGAACATTTGTTAGATAATTAAATTATATGAGGAATACCAATATGAAAAATATAATGATAAACGAGGAAGATTTAAATAAAAGAATTATCGGTACAACTAGTTATAATACTAATTAGTCCATTTATAACATATATCTTCTTCCTCAGCTTTTTCCCGTTTCTATACGGGGTCACTGTTCCTGGTCAGCCGTTTCCAAACGCCTCGGTTTTCATTTTCACCTCTATTTAGATCAATTCCTTTGCTTCTTAGATCATCTTGTACACAATCTTTCCAGCGTCTCTTTGGTCTCCCCCTCCTTCTTCTAACTTCCACTATCATATCAGAGATTCTATTTCCCAGGTATTTTCCATCTCTTCTTTTAACGTGACCATACCACTGAAGCCTCCGCTCCTGCACTTTCTTTGAAGTTTCTACCACCTTAGTTGTGCCTCTAATTCTTTCATTCCTGATCTTATCAAGTTTTGTTACTCCACACATCCACCTTAACATCTTCATTTCGGCTACGTCCAGTTTCTTCTTCTGTGACTCTTTAATAAGCCACGCTTCCGCACCATAGATCATTGCAGGTCTTACTACCGTTTTATGAACATTGGCCTTCACTCTTGCGCTCATCTTCTTGTCGCATAGTACTCCTGACACGTTTTTCCAATTATTCCACACAGATTTTATCCTATGGTTTATTTCGACATCGAGATATCCGTCTGATGTTAAATGTGAACCAAGGTATTTAAAGTTATTGACCTTTTTCACCTTTTCGCCCAATAACATATCTCCAATTTCCTCTTCTCCGTTAAAGACCATGTATTCTGTTTTCTTACGGCTGATCTTTAGCCCTCTATCCTCCATTTCTTTTCTCCACGCTTCTAGTTTTCTTTCTGCCCCTTCTCTGGTGGTATCGATTAGGGCTATGTCGTCCGCAACAACATATCCCAAGGGGCTGGTGCGATGATGTCTATATATATATATATGTATGTATATATATGTATATATATATATATATATATATATATATATATATATATATATAAATCTCCGTATGTACATGCATATAGATGTATGCAAATATATTCATAAATAAATATGAATATATTCATATATATATATATATATATATATATATATATATATATATATATATATATATATATATATATATATATATGAATAAATGTATCTGTATTAATACATATCTGTAGTATATATATATATATATATATATATATATATATATATATATATATATATATACTATAGATATGTCTTTATACAGATACATTTATTCATATATATATTCATATATATATATATATATATATATATATATATATATATATATATGAATATATTCATATTTATTTATGTATATATATTTATGAATATATTTGCATACATCTATATGCATGTACATACGGAGATTTATATATATATATATATATATATATATATATATATATATATATATATATATATATATATATATATATATATATATATATATATATGTGTGTGTGTGTGTGTGTGTGTGTGTGTGTGTATAAATATATGCTATACATATATGAATATGTATACATATACATATATATGTATATATATGCATATATATATATATATATATATATATATATATATTTATATACATATATATGTATATACACACATATATCTAATGTGTGTATAAATATCTATGTATACAGATACACACACATACATATATCTACATACATACATATATGTAAACGTATTTAGGTATATGTACTTATAAATACATATATATACATATTTACATTTGTATATATATATATATATCTTTTATATATATATATATATATATATATATATATATATATATATAAAACAAATGTATATATGTATACATATATATGTTATATATAGTATATAAATATATTATATATACATATATACAAATATGTATATATATATATATATATATATATATATATTATATTTATGTAACTATCTCTCTTTCTCTCTCTCTCTCAATATATATATATATATATATATATATATATATATATATATATATATATATATATATGTATATGTATATATTCATATATATAAATATATATACATACATATATGTACACACACACACACACACAGTTTTGCGTGTGTGTATATGTATATATATATATGTACACATAGTTTTGTGCATGTGTTTGTATGTGTATATATGTATATATATATGTGTGTGTGTGTGTGTATACATTACTTGAACTAAAATTGCATCTGGTTCTTCATACGGAATGAACTAAAACTTTATTTATTTTGTTCTTTATGAGAAAGGTTCTTTTCAGGGATCGGACATGTCTCTCAAATTGCCGAATCTCTTGGGGATAAACTTTTCAACAGTTTCATAAATTCTAGATCGTAAAATAGAATCTCTTAAACAATGATGTCAAATCTATACCGTCGACATTCTCTTGCAAATTCGACTTTCAAAAACTTGCAATACCATAAACCAACAAGCAAACATTGCACGCATTGTTCAAAGTGTGGAAAAAAGTACATTGACTTGCTTATTGGGTCGTTTGTCGGAGCAGAAAATTGAAGCCGATAATGGGTCAGAAACATTAGTGACGCGTGTGTTTAGGTTGGGTCGCCGTTGGAGAAGTGGGCGGGGGAAATGTCATACATTTATATGTATATATATACGTGTGTATGTGTGTGTTTGCGTGTTTATACATACACATATATATGTATGTATATATACATAAACATATATATATATATATATATATATATATATATATATATATATATATATATAACACGAATATATATATATACACAAATACAAATATATACATAAATACATATATGTATATATATACATATATATACACACAAATGCAAATATATACATAAATACATATGTATGCATATATACATATATATTTCATATATGTATATATATACAAATCTCTCTCTATATATGTAAATATATAGAGAGAGAAGTGAGGGAAGCAGTCATCCTGGGACGTGTTCGTCCTGCAGCTGACCAGTGTCTGAGCGAAAACCAATGCGGCTTCGATCCAACAGGACAATAAGGATAAGTCCGATATGCGAAGCTCAGCCTCGCCCGGGCTATGAGGGGAGCCCGGCTTGTGTCGACTAATGCCGACTCGCTAAAGTGTGTCAGTTGGTGCTGACTCGGCTTCGTCCTTACCCGCCGTGGTGCCCAGCCACAACAATAACCTCCAGGCGACCCCTCGGATGAAAGGCCGACACGTACTAGCCCGGAGGCTCATGTGTAGGTGTATAACTGTATATATACACACACATACCCCACATACACACACATATATATTGTTGGTTTTATAATAGAATTCCCTCACAAGTAAGTTAATTTTTGTGTTTGATATTTGATATGGATCCTGCACTGCAGTATAATAAACAGAAATGTGCACTGACTATTTTTTCAAGTAAGTAAAGATTATTATTGATAATTATGGTGATCTCAAAAATGCTTTGAAATTATATATTATAATAATGAGGTGTTGTAGTCAGATGTAAATAATGTTGACCCAGCGGACTCGAACTAGAACTTAGTGAAGGTGAAACGCATGCTCTTTTGGTCTTTGTTTTTTGGACTATGATTCGGCTGTAAGTTTAGTGTCATTCCAGTACAAATTTTCCAGTATGATTATTTGATGATTTATACAAAAATGGTATAAACTGAACAAGAAATACGTATAATGCCCAGAGTTCACTTTGTGTTCTATCCGTACTAAAGTTCAACTTCTGAGATATAATGCTTGCTAGTTTTGTGTTTCTCCTCGGTGGTGAACATATGGTTTCACTTGAAGGAATTAATCATCATAACCAATTTCCACATATTAAGACATTTTCATTCGAGGCATCTGCCTAGTGGCAGGTTGTATTTAGTTAAAAATCAAGCAATATTTCACCGTTAATTTCTGTATTACGTCCCTACTGGTAGATCTGGTACTCAGGCCATCCTGGCACGTAGTCTGCCAAACTCGCTGGGAAAAGAGAAAGAAACTCGGATCATAAATCCCCCTGCTGCCTTGTAAGGTATGCCTCTGTAGGCAAAGGCTAGGAGAGGGTAACTCTGTAATAGTTTAAATTAATGTCTGAGTCAAATATAAAAATATATAAACCAATAGTATATTTCCACATCTTTCCTGCATCCCTTAATTAATTGTTAAACTGTGATGAAAATAACAGTTTTGTATTGTGAGAAAATGACATAGAGAGAGTTTCAGAGTTTTAGATATTTTTATATATATTTTGTTGAGTGATTCATCTACGAATTTTTTTAGAAATCAGTTATACGGAGACAGAAATGAATAGATATAAGGTTATCACAGAAATGAAAAGTGACCAATAGTCCGTTATATTTGATGAATAACTTAATTTTGCCTAACTTCTATGATGAATATTAATAAATATGTAGCTTATTAAAATAAAAGTTTCCACAAAACCAGCGAAGCTTACGACTTTTTTTGAGTTAATGATGAAAGATAAGAACAAATCGGAAATCTTGAGACACTTAGAAAATAACACTTATACTTTTACTAAGTTTTCTTTAGAAAGACAGAGGGAGAATGCATACTGTGTTAGGAGAATATTAAAGATTTGAACTTAGACTAAATTTACAATTAATTTTGCTCTCTACATTTTTTTTTTATTAATACCCTAGTTAAACTAATGCAATTCTTCATTAATAGCGATTTAGTTGAGCAAGGCTAACTGTAACAATATATGTATATACATGTATATATAAATAGGTATATATATACATGTAGGCCTCTCTATATATAATTAGGCCTTTATATGTATATATACACATATATATGTATATTTGTGTTCACACACACATACACATGCACACACACACACATATGTGTATGCACGCACTCACACACATGCAAATCCGCAAATATGCTCATGCGCGAAGCTGCATCGTCTCTGCCGTTCCGTTGGACCCATCAGCTGCGTGGAGAGAGGGAGCATGCTGCATGGGCAACAGCTTGCTCCTCATATTCTTTCGACCAGGCTTTGACTCTACCTAGTCAATAATGCCATAGTCGATATTGGCTGATTGTGGTCTTTTATATATATATATATATATATATATATATATATATATATATGTATATATTCATATGTGTGTGTGTGTGTTTAACGTAAATATTTGAAGACCACACGAGGGTAATGCGTTATCGCTTGCGTTAAAACAAGTCTGAAAGATCAGGCGCGGTGAGGCACAGGGCGGGCCTACTGGGTAGAGTGTATATGTATACATATACATATAAGTATCTGTCTCTACTTATCTATCTATATATATGTGTGTATATATGCAAACTGCCACATTCACTGATAAACGCCTTCTACAGAAAGTAATGCCCTACCAGCAGCTTCACCGTAACCCTAGCACGGTGAGCTCGTATGGTACAGTAGTGGGTGAGTCTATCGTAGATATGATGGGTGAGAACCACCAACAATAAATACTTCCCCCGGGGAAGAACCACTGGTCACCCAATTATAAAGACCCAGTCAACTACATGATGTCAACTTCGTACCAAGTAAATTGTCAGACACTGCATCGGCGATGGCACGAATAAGATGATATGCATATATATGTGTGTGTTTGAGTGAATGCATGTGTGTATGTGTGTGTTTGAGTGAATGCATGTGTGTATGTGTATCTACATGATTGTGTATGTGTGTGTGCGTGTGAATAGATATAGATATTCACATCTCTCTTTCTCACTCACTGTCTCATTCTCTCCCTCCCCTTCTCTCTCTCTCTG